GATGTGGGAAAAGGATGCAGTTCTGAAAGAATTTGACCGAGCTCGATACGGTGAGCTTATGTTGGCAGCTCGTAAGGGCCAAGATTACATTGACCGGAAACTGCTTGAAAGTAGTGCAGTCGGTACGGCATTGAACGCCAGCAATGGCGAACCCATGAATTTTGTCATTCATCCAACTAGCATAAGATTGCGGGAGCTGCGGAAGAAGTTTCACATTGATCTTGGACCGGAGTCTGACGAAGCGAGCCCATCTGGCTCCCAGCCGAAGCTCATAGTGAACCTCCAACTGACGGAAGTCGATGACGCATCAGCCAGTGCAGTGTCATGAGGGTGGGTGCTTAAAGGATTAAGTTCCTTCGAGGACATCGATATATTCAGGTGTGCGTTGACAATCGACAACTCCTAATTCCACACTACCTGAGTCCATCCCTTGACGTTGGATTCCCAGCTTTTGACAAGTCTTTTGGTCGCTGACTCCCCAACGATACTCAAAATGTTCTCTGTATCCGCAAAAGTCCACGCTCTTACCGCGGGCTCAAAATCTCTTCCAAAAACTTGTTCTTTCAGTTTCGCGACGATGGCCTTGCCCTCCTTGAGTGTTGCCTCAGATACCGTCACAAGCTCCTTGATCTGTGTCATAACCTCTTTTGGCAGGTTGCTCTTCCCAGAGCGATCACGCTCCTTTTCACGATCATTAAAAGCGATGATCCATTGTGCTGAGTTCTTTATAGCGACAGAAGTATCGCGGAGAATGGCGAGAGAGTGGAGCGTGCTTAGAGTTGTGACTTGCTCCGAGGCGTTTGTGAGAGGCAGGAGCTCTAGCTTGAGCGTGTCTATGGCAATCTTCAGAGTGTCCACGATCTGGAAAAACTCTTCGGGGATGGGTTTTGCTCTATTGATGCCGGTTGCGAAAGGAATGAGAGTGCTGAGTAGGCTGACGACCTCAAAATAGGTTGCCTCCTGTGGAGTGAAGTCGCCTCTGGGACCGTTAGAGAACTTCATGAAAGAATTGCTAAGTTGACTTAGCGACTCGAGGACAAAGATTTGGTCGGGAATGGCGGCTGCCGCAGAAGCCTTGTAAATGTGAGGAGGCTTGTAACCCAAGAGTTCATGGAATGCTTCAGAGAGAAGTGACAGATGCGCGCGACGGTTCTATACATGTCAGTTTGGCTTCATAGGGAGGAGGAGACATACTGTCGATGGTGGTCCAATCCGCAAACGAGAGTAGACAGGCGATTGAGAGCTGCAATCCCAAGACGGGAAGGATCCATAGTCCACAGTCTCAACCAATTTCATATCGTCAGTCACTTCGGCTGCTTTTGTTGGTACTTGTCAAGAATGGTGGATGATTGGAAGACTCACTGAATCGAGGGTCGGTAAACACCTCTGAGAAGTGTTCTCCCATGATTCGATCGGTTCTAGTCTCCTCAACCAGACTCATCGCTCGTGTGCAGCTCCATCGCAGGTTTTCCATGTATTCGGGGATGTCAATTACACTACTATAACTTCCCGACTCGAAAGCATCTATTAGCCGTCTAGGCATTCGAAGCTTGAGCGATACGTTGAAGTGCGAGCTCAGCAACTCTAAAAGCTCCCATCCAGTCTCGTCTGATGGTGAAATAAGAGCAGGTGAAATTGTCGAGAGACGGTCGTAGAAAATGGGAGCGAGGGAGTCCATGATGGTACGCTTGACACCCAGTGTGTCCCAGATCTCCCGGGCACGAGGTGACGAGCCGACTCGAAGGTGCAGTTGTACTAGTAGAAGAGAAATGATGCTGTGCTTTGGCGTCAAAGTGAGCTGGTGTTCGAGCAACAGCAGGGCTCGGAGGAGGGGGGTGTAAGAGACAGGAACATTTGAGATATCGGTTGACGGAGGAAATGCAGCTTGGATCATACAAAGGCCAATGATGACAGCCAGTTCCGGCCTGATCTCGCCCTCTACAGCAGAGCTGTTTGAAGTCAAGTCAGCCAGCGACTGGTGAGCCTTGAGTGCAGTCTCGGCGATGGTTGAGAAAGCAGGCCCGGGTGAGCTAGCGTCAACTTCAACACCAGACACAAGACATTTGCGCAGAGGCTTTTGGCCAGGTATCGTGTCGTACATACAGGGGCATGTGGCTGCAAAATATTGCAATTTGAATGCAAGGTTGCTTATTCTAGCCGACTGAATCTCGTCCTCTGTAGCCTGAGCCAACTTCGGAACAAACTCGTATGCCATGTACTTCAATGCAGATGAACTGAGTCTCTCTGCAAAAGCCTTGATATCATCAAAACACGCAGCATTTGTGCCTTGGCTGTTGATGTAACTGATCAGCTCCTTGAGTCGGAAAGACACCGGCTCGTTCTCGACAACATCGTCCTCGTCATTCGATGCAAGATTAAAGGCCGCAGAGACGCGCGCTAACAGAATAATGCGCTTGTAGATGGGTCGTAAATTTGGCGACTTGATGAACTTCAAGAGGAGTTGTTGGACAGTTTCTTCAATGCTAGATCTTGTCAGTCGGGGCTTCGTTTGCTGTTGAGTTTCAACATACTCTGGCTTGGTGTTCTTGATTTGGGCACCGGCTTCAATGAATTGCCGCCACACTTTCCAGTCTGCCGCCATCAGACTCGGTTGACCGTTTTCGTCCTCAATTGACAAGCAATCCTTGCACAACTCAAAAATGGCTTCAAACTGTTGGTCCTGTTGGTACCGAGAAATGGTCCGCAGCATCAACTCCTTTCTGCCCTTTCGGAACTGAACAAGAGGACTGAAGACGGGACTTGAGACGAGTTTCGCCAAGTCATCCTTGGAACCCTGCTTTTCGGTTACATCGTATAACAGCAGAATCTCTTCTTCTGTTTGGATACTTCGCGGCTGTGGTTTGGCTTCCTCACCCCCGGTAGTCGCAGCCTAGGATGGTGAGCTTAAATCTAATAACAAATGAAAGGGGTACTACTTCTTCAGCCAATTGTGCAGCACGCTGTATCTGCTTCAGGGCGAGCATACCATAGAGCTTCTTCTTCTCCGGTGGTGATTGAGGGCTAGTCTGGCCGGAGTCAGTGAGGAATGAAACAGAAGATTGCTGCACGAACCGCCAATAAATGGGTGATCACAATATTCCAAAACATAAAGCTCCGCTCTTGAGGAAATGCCCTGTCCAAAAGCGCCGCGATCTGGAAATACGTTAATCGATATTTATGCCCAGTAACAAAGCCTTCCGTACCTGTTGCGCGCTGACAAGATCCCAGTGCAATAAACATGACTCCAAACAGCGGCTGGCGCCAGTTTTATCCTTGGGTGCAGCCTTCACGAGACGTGCCCTCAATGGTCCAAGGGTCTCGGGAAAATCTTCTTCACTATTAAGACCTTGGCTGGCCCATTCAAGGAGGTCTATAGCATCGACATCTTTGACCACGGTTCCATCTCTGACGTACTTGTCAATGGCGGTTATGGCTGCGAACTTCGAGCTAGGGTCATCCAGTTGGCTTTCAGCACATATTTTCACAATCTATTCATATAGGTCAGTCTATGTATGGCTCAAGTACAACTCCCATCGATTCGCACCTCATAATATTGGTCGTTGAATGTTCGAGCCCGCTTCTCTGCAAGACGGATCACAGCAGCCCAGTTGCCATCGTTGAAGGCAGACTGGAGCTGCAGGTCTACACCGTTCTTGAGGCTCGGTCGCTGTTGACGATTCATGAGTGTCAAGCTTCGCGACGCTTTCCCGCCCCAACTGACTAAAGTTGACTGAATTCTCGAGAGTGAGTGCGTGAGAGTTTGGAGGGGCTCGAATTGAAGTGGGATGCTACAGAAAGGTGGAGGGGCGGTGGAAACGTGGCTGATGCACCTTGCGCCACATCACGCAGCCAACTTTGGGTCCTCTCTTTTGTCACCGCAGCCCAAAGCTTTGGCGCTGTTACAGCATCGAGAAGCAACACCGTAACAACTCAACATTATACTCAGGTGTACTCCCAAAGTGTCACGACGCTTACGTCTGTCAGCATTATTCGGGTTTTTATTGTTAGTTCAATCATCAAGTTCTCTCAGTCGTGGCTACCCGTTCCATCTTGACGTCTTCATCGGTGCCATGAGATGTTGTACAGCCACCGCATGAGACTCCGTACTTTGCCTGCCTAAGGAAATCGGTCCACTGCAAATAGTGATGGCTGTCTACAAGAGATCATGTCCAACACTCGATGGTGATTGAAAATGCAAAAGTTGGAGGACTTTCACAGAGTGACCGTTGCGACGGTTGGTTGATCTTAACTCTGGTAAGTACCTATGCTCTTCTGCAGATTTACATACCCATTACTCGATTGAGAGTGGTTAGGATCAATGAGAATGGTTTATCTGAGGCAAACGCAGAATACCGATCCAGAAAGAATAGGGAAAGACAGGAGATCCGAGTTATTGTCTGACGACTGAGACTTTCACCAACCCAAACCACTAGAGTTTGCTCTTGCTTAGCAACCTCGAAACAATTCAATTCCCCTCCTTAATTGGACGAGCCCTCGAAAAGTCAGAAAGCGCGGTACCCTTTGTGAGACTTCAAGACGGTTCGCGGAGGAGTGTATCGGCGACCAAGGGGATGATAGGCGATGATAACATTGATGACCGAGCATAGGGTTCACTACCGCATGCTATCGAGTAACAAACAATGAGGTGATGCTTCAAAGAGCTCGTGACCACGACGGTTCTGCCAAGTATCATGACCAACCTTTGTCATCATTTGGTTTCACCCGTCTCACTGATTATACGGTATAGGCTATCAGAGACACTTGTGCAATCATGTGGGAGAATCTTCCGACCTCAGTCATGCTCTCAGGACACACAAGCATGGTTATACCGCTTCAGCCTTGATGGTACAACTCATCTGCGAGCCTCATTCTGTGGTTGGTCTTGTTGAAACGCGGGTCGATCGGAATGTTTCTCATATCTAGAGACGTATAAATGAATTGACAGTCTTCTTTTTTCCCCAACGAGGAGCAAGAGCACTTGTTATTCTTATCCAATAGACATGGGAGATCAACCAGAAAATGAGGCTTTTGAGATGGCGAACCGACCAGTATCACCTCTCAGCGTCGTAACCGAGGAAGACAACCCTGAGTCTGTTGATACCACTTCAACGGGCACCCCGAAGCCGGAAGATACTCAGGACGGCACTCAATCGGTCAGTGATGGGCTACTAGCACCAAGCCGAGAGGACAAGATCGCAGAAGGAGACGCCGCAACAGTACACACGGGCTGTCCCCTCAAAAGACATGTCCTATACTCCCTTATAACAGTTGCGTTCATTGGCTCAGTTTCTCTCGTCGGTGGTTGCTGGCTCATCGCACATATCCAGGCCAAGACAGACAAGCGCTATATAGCAGCCGTCATTGTTGGAGGCAAGCTCTCATCAACCGAAGCCAAGCTCATTGACGCGTCCTTCTCCATTCTGGTGGCGCCAGCCGTGGTCGCGGTCGCCAATTGGCATATGTTCAAGCTTGCTCGTCTTTCTGCTGTCAACGAGCACAGCGGAAGAAACTCAGCTGTGAGCATGAAGGTGCTTGTTGAAGTTGCCAGCACAGACTGGGGCTCCTTCAGCCCCCTCAAGTTCTGGACTTTTGTCCGTTCAAGAAGGCCCCGCGTCATTTGCCTGGGAATTATCGCTGTTCTCTCAGCTTTGAGTTTCTCTTTGCTTGGTAATTCCGTGGCATATCAACAGGCCGGAGTAGATACATCTACGCAGGTGCTTGAGTATCTGCATGACACACATTCAGTGCTGCCCGGAGGTTCACAACCAATACCTCTGGACGACCAGTCGATCCAGCAACAGGTTTCAGCAAGACTTCAGGATAGGCTTTCACGCCTACAACAAGGAATATTCGAGTCACCTACGGAAGGGCTAGTTAGCGTCAACGTCTCGGATCGATCACGTTCGTCGCTTTCTCCTGCCGTCATGCAACTATTTGACGCGCCAGTCTATCGGCTGAAAATGTTTTGCAGTCCTTCCAATCTTCAAGGTGTATCAACAATGGTGCCAGACAAACGAAACTCACATCTCAGGTTTGTCCTTGAGGAAACACCTTCGGTCTTCGGTTCAAAGTCAACCACATACGAAGCACCGTTCGGCACGAACGAATCTGTCATCTCAAAGACGGCACGAACGAATCTGTCATCTCAAAGACGGCACTAGATGTAGCCAAAGCCACATATCCAGGGCTCAGATACCCGCTCATTGCTTTCAACCAGACCGTTCTTTGGATCGGGGTTATGGATTTCGAACACAATGGTGGCCCACTGATCACTACAGAGCGATGGGGTAGTTTGATGCCTTTTACCAAAAGTTTCTTGGCTATTGATCAACCTGACGCTCGACAAACAAACTATAGCCTGACATTTTCAGGCTTAACGTGCCGTTTAAAGAGATCCACTGGATGGGCTGACATTAAAGTGAACAGGAGCGACTGGTCGATGATTGAGAACACCCTTGTCAATGAGAAGCTTGATACCGGGTACGATGTGCCGGTGCTAAGCTTGACGTCAAGTCTCAAGGTCTTCGACGACGGGCGTGATGGGAGACCGCCTGGGCTCGGTGGACACTTGCTTCGAGCGGCACTTGGAGAGGCGATTGAAGGAAGTCGACAGAGCTGGGACCTAGAAACTCTTGCTGATGCTTTCCTATGGTACGAAATGGAGTCCCGTCAAGTACTCCTTGACAATGACCAAGCTGGAAGGGCTGAGAGATATCAAGTCCAGTCCAATATTGATGAATATGCAATGACATTTATTCCATGGATTCTCCTGTCTGGACTTGGCACATTGGGAGTGGCATGCGTGTTGACGATTGGGATTGCGCTCGATTCTTGGAAGGTATACTCGCTTAGAAGCGGGAGAATGTTGGATCCAATCCGATTGACAGCTAATGTTGGAGTGGCTTTGGATAAGCAGGCATTTGAAGAGTGCTCAACCTGGCGCACCACAAGGCTGAACAAGTGTGCTGATGAGGCTCGGTTCCAGTATGAGGCCGACGCCCGACTGGATAGTGCAACTGGTCTTTATACTCTAGGAATCCGCCTTCGGCAAATTTCGCGACCACATGACTGATGAAATGTCACAAATGGGGGGGTCGGATAGTATGACGGAGTTACTGCAGGCGTTTTGGTTACACTATGAGTGCTCAGGCAATTCTCAAATTGAACAGACGTGCAGATTGTGCAGCTCTTGGTCCTTCGTTCCTTAATGGCACAGCCATCATCCCACATACCTACCATATGGTAACAGCTCTGTATATGCCTCATCAATCTCAGAATACCATGCATTTAGCTCGTGCAAAACCAGGTGTTGCTCCAGGCATAAATAGTGAAACCCGACGAAAGGCAGTTGGGACGTCATTGTATCTCAAAAGTAGCTGTGTTCCCACCGGTGTAGGAAAGCGGTAGGGGTTTAGAATAGAATAAAGCGATACAGATCAGTAAGTCATGACCATCCCAATGGGCGAAGATGCCGTGGCCGAAACGAAAGTTGAAGCTCGTCAGTTGAGGTGGACTGGAGTATTGTGAGGATGCTGGCAAAAGGCCAGACTTTTCGTCGCGATGGAAAAAAAGTATATTGAGCACCGCGCTTCCGTATTGTACAATATATCAACTCCATTTATCTTACAGTGATACCTCGGTCGTCAGTCATTGATGTTTAGCCGGGCTGGGTCAAGTAGGCCAACGCAGACGATTAAGGGCGAATGACCCCATCAGAACCATCCGCGCCCTTCCTTTCTTCGTTTTTCGGTCTGCAGTAATGATAAGTCTTAGGTCTTCTGCTACTGCTGCAGCGTCGTGTATACATAACGTACCCATGCTTGTTTGCAATCGCGATATGCCCTGTTCAATTGTCAGCACCTTGTCCCGATTCCTCGATCCAAAGCAACATACTGAAAATACTCTCCACACATATTCTTGTCGCCTCCGTTCCTGAACAAGCATCTGTAACTCCTCTGCGCAGCCTCTTGGCACGGGTCGTAGAACTCGCTCTTCGATTTCCTACGCCTCGTCAGTGTCGCGGTCGTTTACAGGTGGGGGCGGTCGCTGACGTTTCGAACTTCCGGCGTTTATCCTCGTTCCAAGGTTGGGCTTCGGCGTCACTCGACTTCGGGGGCTCGGTGGCCTCAGCTGTATCTTTTGGTGAAGAGGACATGGCGATGACGTTTGGGGAAAAGCGATGGAGTCTTGGAAATCGCGGGATGGAGGCGCGCTGGTTTGGATGATTCAATCCGACAAAGCTGGGGTGGGCCAAACGGTTCCTAGACCGGTTAGTGAGAAGCGCAAATCCGTTCAAAACGGAGTCGAAGGAAGTGTAGACCATCTGAATCCAAATGCCAATTGTTCATTGGGACAACCCATAAAGTTGGGCACGATGGTGGGTGGCATGTCCAGCTTATCACCAACAAGCACTCGCAGCCATTTGGGATACATCAAAAGGTAGGCAGCATTAAAGTCATGCACACAAGAACTCGCATTCACTGCTCACGTTTGCCGATTGAAGCAGTGAGTTACATTATATATACATAATGCTATAGGCGCTGTTTAATACAGGCTCTACCAGAAGCCATCGTTACACCAGGCCTTCCTATTACCTCTCGTGCTCTCTATTAGTCCATCCCTTGCCTTTTGTATTTTTCTCGTCGTCTCTTGACTGCAGCATAGACCCACGTCGAATTCTTTCAGATCATCATCGCCCATGGTCGTCAATGCAGCTAAACCGAGGTACGAATGGTACATATCTGGTGGCCCCCCTACGGACTTGGAAAACCCACCGATGCGATGTTGTGTGATATCTAGAAGATACCGTCGCGAAGGAATGACGTTGACAATGGGAGAATTCCCCAGCATCTGGAAGACGTGTAAGAGTTGTGCTCTGTCCAAGAAGGCATGAGAAACTTACTGCAAGCGTACCGCCAACCCACCAACAGTAGCACGTATCGGCCTTCTTGTTCCATCGACCATTGAATCCGATATGACCAAGGTCGAGCTCACCAGCCTTTGACTCAAGAAAGTTATCCTCCACCTCATCCTCTTCCTCTTCCTTGGCGAGGTAGGCGAAAGAGCGAGAGGCGAGGAAGTGAAGGAGTCCCTCACGATTCGGGACGCCCCGTTTCAGCGCCTCCTCGGGAGGATGCGGCGACGTCGAGTCTAGTGGTCTGTCTAAGAGTGACAGCGCGCCTATTGCGCAGTATGCATATCCAGCTAGAGAGGTGAGTTATGCGAGTATACAATGCGTCGAGAGACCATACCATGGGATTCGTGCTGCGACGATTCTGCCACTCCACCGTCATACGTCTGAGACAGTCAGTGAGGCGGCATCACTTAAGCAAGTATAACGTACCTGGCCTCTCTTGATGTGAGCAATCATTTCATCAACGTTCAAATCCTCTACCCAGCCCTCATCGCCTTCTTTGACATCTCCTCTCAACATCCACCGAATGCAGCTCGCTAGATAGCTGTGTCTCATATCTCTGCCACCCATGATCTCTCCGTCCCATAAATTTTGTCCGAAACTCCCATCCTTTCTTTGAAGCCCTTTGAGCCACTTCAATAATCGTATTCTGTCCACCCCGTTGAAGGCTGACCTCGCCTCATCCTCGCCATCAGCCGCCAGACCCAATAGCACGAGTGCAAAGAAGGTAGCTGCAATATTTGCTGTGCCCTTGTATGCTTCTTGACCTGGTAATGCGTGCGTTGAACTTCCGCAAAAGCCACCTTCTGGATGCTGCAGACTGAGAACCCACCGACGGATAGCACCGCGTTCAGTATTAGTGAGCGGAACAGACAGAATGTCAAGCGCCGAAACAATGAAGCAAGCGAAAGTAAGGCGGGTCGAGTCGTAGGCTGTGTAAGGAGATGGGAGATACGTTTTATGACAGCGCTGCCAATATTTGATGTGCTGTTGCTTATCCAGCACGGGACTACTGGCTTCCGACATACCAGATAAACGGACTCCCAACCTTAAAAGTCGTATATTTGTCCAATAAACAATGTGAATGGCTTCAGTTAAAATTGCTCAAATTGAAGGCATTGCTGGGTAAGATACCTGCATGTCCGAGTCCTACCAACAAGCTCACAGCTGGAGGGACAAGGTGGAGACCAATTCAAACAAGGGCATTCAGACGTCAGCCATAAGCACCGCCACAGGTGCCCTGCGACGCCACGAGACGCTCCTGCAAGCGGATTCGCTAGCCGCGATTAGCGGCCCGCAAACCCCATCATGCGCGGGTGACGCATAGCATAACCCCTGGCTTGGTTTTCACAAAAGCTATCCAGCGTGACCAGAAGTTGATCAAGTGCCCGGACACCTTCCAGCTGGGTCTTCTCTTTTCCATTCCTTTAAGCACCAGCTCACTTGTATTTGGCTTCTTGAGCCCCTCCTTCTCTGCTGTCAGTTTCCCCTTCTTTTGCGACGGCGACAGCTTCATCCTGCGACACCCGATACGGCACGATTTGACGAGCGAAGTACATCGAGACAACCATCACCAACGAAACAAAGCGCAACAATGGCACTCATATCCGCTAAAACGATTATAACCTCTGTCTCTCTTTTTCATCTAACTCTCGCATACTTCTTCATCACCAATCCAAGCTCCATCAATGAGCAAGCGCTTGTGTTCATGTTAGGAGAAAGTATGGGAATGGTGAGTCTCCATCACAGCATCGCTGCTGGTCGCACCGTCTCCGAAGCCTGGTTCAGCTGACCCGATTTATCATAAAGCCTCTAGCAGGAGGTTTTGAACTGCAAAGCCCTCCTCTTGCATTCCTCGCTGCTGTCCTCATCTTTGTTGGCTTTAGTGATCTGGTATCCCTATCCATGCCCGACGAAGTCTGCCTGATTTTCCACTGGGGCACACAAGGTTGGCACTCCATGGCCTACTTCTACCCATGATGGACGCTAATTGTTACACAGCACCCCTGCGATCGTTCCTCTCCCTCGGTTTCGTTGCATACATATTCCTGTTTGGCCCATCATCCCCCATGTACGACAAGTCCTCTCGCGGCCACCTCTCCCATCCGAGCTCGTATAACCCATCATATCGCCCTGCTGGCTGGGGTGGTGACATGCTCAAGAACCGCCTATTCTTTACCTTCATTTTTATTGAAACAATGACATGGTTCTGGGTTTGGATTACATTGCGCGAAGAGCGAGATGCGATACTGAGCAAGAAGTCTCGAAGACGAAGCCACTCGCATTCTCTATAGGAGACTGGCTATTTACACAAATATATGGTACTAGGGAGCAATTGGAGTACAGTGTTCTTGGGACGAGACAACGAAACGCACGAAAGACCCAGATATTAGAGAATATTTGCAAGCGGCCCATGCTGTGACAGTCACATCAGGCTCAGGATCTTGCAGAAAGACCGAACAAGTCAAGAAACAAAGTGAACGACTTGACAGATTCTCACCTAAACCGTGTTGCTGAGACAAGCAACGCAAGTTGATTTGCAAACACATAAATAATAGTCTGTTAAGCTCTATCGTTCCATGATCGTATATAACAAAAAGAGGTATCCATAAGGGGCTGTGTACCATTCAATGGTTTAATGAATAATAGCAAAGCTGGAGAATCGGAGAGACGAATAAAAACAGAAACACAAACAGCATTGTATCGCAGAGCTTTTGGACACTGTAATAAACCGATTCCACCTCCGTCATCCAGGTAATTATCTAGTATACTTCGTCAAGTCGTTGAACTGCTTTCTCAAGGAGAATTGTCATCAAGTCGCAGGTGCCTTCCCGGCAGTGGTTGTGGATGTGCATGTCGGGCCTTCTGACTTGTTTTGAATGATAGTAGGCGCTGGTTCTAGGCTCGGCTGAGGTTCATTCTCTTCAAAGATCTGCTCTTCGATCCTCTCCCCGGGACCGCCTATCACCGGGCTGAAAACATCAACTTCTTCGACATCGTCGTCGTCTTCTGAACCCTCGTCTTCTTCTTGAATCGTGATTTCTCCAGATCGGCGTCCCAAGCCAGAGGCACTAGCGCTGCGGGAATGCGAACCGGAGCCACTGTTACGTTGGCTTTGAGAGGGCCCACCAAAATTGTTTAGCGTCGGGCCCTTGAACAAATTCCGTTTTCGCTTGGCAAACATGATGCCTGATGCAAAAGGGTTAGGCGAACCTGGAGCTTGTGGGGGGTCTTCGGATGGCATGCCTTCATTGAACATATTCAGGGTCGGCGGAGTGGCTCGCACGAGACGAATATTCGATGGGAAGGCGACTGACGTGGGCGTTGCTGGAAGCACCTTGACTGAGTGGTGTGGCGAGTGACCTCGTTGAAGAGGTGTCTTCGACATCGAAGTGGAGAATGAAGCAGCTGAACTCGTAGACGACGCCTTGGAATGGGAGTGATGGTGATGATGGATGGATCGAACAGAGGATACCGAGGATGATGTCGATTTTCGGCCCCGAAGTCCAGCTGATGACCGCCTAACAGTCGATCTCGGCGTAAGGGGAGAAGGGGACAGTGACTGTCGTTTGTACGACGTCGCGATCCTAGGTGGCGGGATTGTTGGTGACGCTAGACTTCCCGACGCCGTTCGTTGGGTACTGCCTCCAGCTTGATAGGCCTTCTGGCCGTTAGCCACAACTCCCTTCGGTAGCGAAGCAGTTGGCTGTGTTCCCGGCGAGGTTGAATTAGGATATTTGCTTGTCTGTGGTCGCGAACTCCCATCCTTACTGCTGGCCGTGCTCCCCTCCTTCTTGTGGAGATCAGGGGTGCTCTGACTCGTTCGTCTGGCGTGACCACGTCTTCTTCTTGTTGCACTTTCAACAAGCCAATGTGTCATGTTCTTCCAGTGGGATATAAGTGGCTGGCTAGGTCTCCGTCGTGGCCTCTCATGGCCGTTCTGCTGATGATGCTCGTCACTAGCATTCGAAGCCAGCGCGTCCGAAGTCGTGACAAGGTGAAGAGTAGAGCCTCGAGACCGAGCACTGCGTATCATGCCCTCCTTAGGTGGCGGAATAGGCCTGCGCTGGCGAGATGTCGACACGGACCTTATCGAGTCTTTATCAACAGGTGGCGGAGGATGATCGCCATCTTCATTCATTCCTCCCGAATCCCTACCAACTTCTGGAAGCTGTGGAAGATCTGTCACAACATAGTCGACGTAATGCGCGCTTCGTCGCTCGCTCCTGCCCCTGTTCCGG